ATTTTTAGTAATATACTTATAAAATAAAGTAATCCATAAATACAAATATTATAAAATAAATACCTGATTTTAGTTTTCTTCTATACCAACAGAAGGCAAAATTTCATTAGAAATATAATCACGAAAGTTATGAACAGTTGTATTAAATTTGTGTTGTTGTAAATATGATGTTACTTTTAATTGAACATCCTCATCATCAAGAATACTGCTTCCCTAAGATGTTTTCTATGATTACTTTCAGGAACGTCACCATATTTAATAAATACTTTAACCTAACTTCTAATACAACGAGCAAACTATATTCTTTGATTTAGAAGATCTGCAATAGTTTGACTTGCTTTTAATTTTGCATGTCCTTTATTAAGGAGTTGTAAATAATGTTAAACAGCTTTAAGTCGCAACTTATATCCTGAAATTAAATATTCATTCTTGAGTTTTAGTTTATCTTCAATTATATTAATTAATGCATTAAATTGTACATTTTTTATGATTTTATCATCATTGAAATTATCATTGAAACTATCATTATTGGAACCATCACTATTAGAACTATCTCCACCAAAAAAACCATCATTGGAACCATCTTTACCATCAAAGAACCACTACCAAAATTATTACTAAAAGAACTACCACTGAAATCAATACCAGAACCATCACCACTAGAAGAACTATCACCAAAATTACTACCAGAAGAACTACCAGTATTGTGATTATTTAATAGTTGATAAAGAGTTTGTCTATTTTTTTTTTCAATTTTCCAATACTTTAACTTTTTGTCGATATTTTATCATTCGTGAGTTTCTTACATTTACTAACGGATGTTTTGAAAGTTTTAGTTCTTTCATATTTTTAGTTAAAACCAAAAAAAGTTGCTTTGCCTCATCCTCATCAACCCATCCAACTTCATCATCCATGTTAACCTCATTATCTAAGTCTAAAATATCATTTGAATCATTTGAATCAGTGTCATCATGATTTTTTGCAATTTAAATTTTTCTTTTTTTTGCAATCTCTCGGCATTATTGGATTCGTCATTTTGGACGCCCCATTGGTAAAAAAAAAAAAAAAGATCAGTTGATCAACATATGCATATAGTCTAAACTATTTATATAAGTGACCTACATTATAAATTTAGGCATAATTCTGGCCAGAGTTATATGTTTCAAATCCATTCTCACTTAAGAAAGTATTCGAACTTTGCCGATTAATAACTTTTGATCTAGATATCTAATCAAAGAAATTCTAACGTTATTTTATAGAAACAGTCAATGTCTATCGAACTACGTTAAAATATTTTAAACATATACACTAGAAAATTTTTTATTTCATTTTTAAGTTTGATAAATTTATTGGATGGCTTTTTGTAACACAAACTATACAACTTGTACACATAACTTTTGGTCTAAATTTTATACACTGCTAATAACTATATTATTTATAATAAATACTTTTTTTCAAATTAGAAGAAAAATCATTTTTGAAAAAATGTTAAATGATGAAGAATTTAATCCTGATTAAGAAATTCTAACAAAAAATGATACTGAAGGGTAAGAAGATATTTTTGAGAAGTAAATTTATTTAGAACTTAATATTTAAATATATTAAATACATTAGAAAATATCATTTAGTTATATTTTAATAAGAATATATTATATGTATTAGGCTATAATGTCTGCAAAAATATTCACATAAATATAAGACAACAACTGGTATTAGTTTTTTATAGAAATATCTTAAAAAATATCAATTACAAATATCTACAAAAATATATCAAGTTTTGATTAAAAAAGGTATTCCTTTCAATGATAATGATCAAAAAATTCATAATAAATAATACCTTATTAATTAGTTAATATATGATCTCTAACCTTTCACTATTATTAAAAATATTATTTAAAGCATTTCTCAATTTCTTTTGTTCAAATTATATTATTCTCAATTAGTAAAAGGCAAAAGGTATTAATTTATATAAATCTTTTAAAAGGTTATATCTAATTGTCAATTTTTTTATTTAAAATAGATTTTATAATCAATACATTCACAATCAAAAGAAATGCAATTATTGATGAACTTCATAAAATTATAAAAAATTTAAGTTAATAGTTGATATATAAACATCTACTATAAATTAAGAAATATTTTTAGGAATTATAATTTCTTATATTGATCTTAATTAGAAACTTTAGAATTTTCTTTTAGATATCATATTTTATAAAATTAAGTATTCTAAAATAATTTTATATAAGAAATAAAACAAACTTTAAAAAAATTTAATATTTCTGATAAAATTATCACACTTATAACTAATAATGAATCTTTTATAATAGTTTATGAAAAATAGATAGCTTTAGCTATAGATAATAAATTTTCTTTTATAACCTTTTTATTGCTGATATGCTATACATATCTTAAATTTAAATATAAAAAAAGGTTTAAAACTTTTCAATAATTTTGCCATTTATATAATGAATTTCATTTTTTATATAATTTAAAAAACATGAAATATTTTAAATCTCTTATTATTATAGTTATTCACTGAAACTCAATCTTTTATATATTAAAATAATTAGAAGCACTTAAATTAGCATTAGTTTTACTAATAACTAATAATCGATCAATTAGTACTTATTATTCAAATAATAATAATTGAATTACTATTAAAATAAATAAAAACATTTTAATAATAAAAAATAATTTTTATTTAATTTCTAATATTATTTACTATAACTTAAATTAGAATTTATTTTTACTTCTTGAATCTCTAAAAAAAGCTACTAAATATTTATTTATATCTTTATATTTAATTATAAGAGAAACTCATTTAAATTTAATAATATTAGATAATAATAGATAAATCTTCAATAATTTCTACAATTATAGATTCTTAAAATAAACTTATAGTTTTCCTAGAAAAATTAAAGTTGAATGCTCTCAGGTATATTTAAAACATATACAAGATTTATAAAAAATAATCTATACCTACAAATATAATATAATATACTTTTAATAGTAATTATCAGTATTTTTTATTACTTTAATAAGAAAATAAAGTAAAACAAATAAATAAAGAAATGTCTACTCTAACAATAGAATTGAAAGAACTAAATCATTATCTTTAATTTAAAACTGATCTTTTTATATAATAACAAGTGCATTCTAATGAATTTTTAATTTTATATAATATTATATAAGATTTTCTTTCTATTTAAGTAACTAATGTTATACCAGAGTAAGTATTTTCAGTTACTGAAAATGCAATTAGCAAAATCTAAAATCATTTATTATCAGAGATAACAAAAATATATTTGTATGTGAAAAGTTAGATAAATAAAGGTTTAATTAAATAATAAGTAGTAATTTTTATATTAAATAATACTTTAAAAAATATTATATTAATAAATAATAAAAAAATAATATAATTGTATATATTTAGATTTTAAAAAGAAAAGGTTATAAAAATTTTATTTTACCTTTTAATTATTGAAATACATTTATATTTTTTTAAAAAAAATTTTTATGTATTTATTTAATATTTAATTATTTATATAATAAATTTAAGTACAAAAAAACTAATATTTAAAAGTTTAAATTAAGATTTTTATACATCAGAAACTAATTAAACTGCAATATTAAAAATAAAATTATGGCTTGTCAGATAATCTATTATTCTATTTAAATCTAAAGAAACAAACTTGCAAAAGAATTAATTTATAATATAAGCAAAAGTTTATTTATTTATACAATTTATTTTATTTTAGCTAATTAATTATTATACTATAAACTAACTATTTTGATAAATAAATATAAATAAAATAAAAATAATAAAAATTATAAAAATTCATAATAAAATAAAAATAATAATAAAAAGTAAAATATTAAGAATAAGCATTAAATTAAATATTCTAAGACTTTATTTAATCTGTAAAATTAAGGTTATTATCAGTATTTGAAAGATCAGCAGAATTATGTAAATTTTTTGTATTTTCAAAATTTATAGAATTATCAATATTTTTAGAATTTTAGACTAAAAAATCATTATATTGTATCATTTACATGACTTCATTATTATTGATCAATTGCTTTACTAATAATACTAATATTTATATTTAACTTCCTTTTTTAATAAGTGAATAAAATTTCTATATAGTTATATTATATAATATTATTATTCTAATAATCCTTTAAAGCAAATTTTACAGTAGAAAGTTTATTATTTTATTTTTTTTTATTATTAAACTTTAATGATTTTTAAAATAAATATTTTTATTAGATTTATTACTTTATATTATTTTTTTTATTATTTTATAAACTTCTTTATACAGTTAATATTTAATATCATTTACTATAACAAATTTCAAACTTTTATTATGAGAAAATTCATATATAATAATAAATTATTTAGTATAATAGATAATTAATAATTTTATTATATAATATAATTAAAAAATTTTTATTAAAAAATTATATTTATTGTCTAATATTAGGCAAATTACTTAGTAAATTGTAGTTTTGCCTTATAATTGATAAATTGTGAATTTTTTTTTCAATTTTAAAAAAATAAATATATTTAATATAAATCTAAATTTTAATTAAATATTTTTAATTATTATCTAACTTATCTCAGAATCTTATCCTGAAAAATTATAATATCTTTTATTATATACATTTACTTTTCATTTTTTTTTATACTATTAACTGGATAACACTCTTATAAGAGTGTTATCCAGTTCAATTATAATATTATCTAGTTATGAGTAAGTTGTTATTTACTTACTTATTTTTGTATTCTATGACCTTTTTATTGCTTTATTGCTATTCACTTGATTTTATTGCTCTATAGCTTTTTTATTGCTTTGTAGATATTTGCTTGATTTTATTGCTCTGTTCTCTTTTTATTTTCTTCTAGCTATTCGCTTGTTATCATTGCTCTGCAGTCTTTTTGTAATCATGATGCTAGGCTAGCATTGTTTGCTAAAAATCGTATTGTGATTGGGTAGCACAATCAAATCACATGACTTTATTTTAGTTAATTTCAGCGTCCTTAGGTCGCCCAAAATTATGGCTAGTCGAATTATTGTAATTTACTGCGTCAAAAAAAAATCATGTGCATGATGCACTTCCAGATCCTTCCCATCACTTCCCTGTCACTTTTCCACTACTTTTGAGATTCTGACTGGAGGATCTGATGGTTGAAGAATCAGAAGTACTAAGATCAGCTTATATAATTGCCAGGAATTAGTTCTGAACTTGCTTGCAATTCTACCCTTATTTGATTGTCGGGTTGAGACATGAAATGCCGAATTTGCAATCCATATATTTTCTTTCTCAATTGCTATCTCTTAATTGCCAGTTGAGGTACGAAGTGCTGAATTTGCAATCCATCCATTTGCTGAAGATGTGTTGCAATTTATTCACTCACTTTTTATTGCTGATCAGGCATGTGCGAAGTGCCAGTGTTGTGCCATTCTTACAATCTTACCTTTTGTGACCCTTTTGATTGCTGAGGATAAGGCACGAAATGCTGAATTAGTTCAGGCTATATTGCTTTTATATCTTTTTTTTATGCATCTTCTTGAGCCTTTTTGCCTTCCTGATCTCTTTCCTGCCTATCGACAGTAGTATCCAAAAGCATAATTTTTTATTTTATTTTTATATAATTCTACCTTTAGATATTACTAAATCTATACTCTTATTTTCGCCTAAGCTTTCCTAGATTTTTTTCTCGTATAGTTGCTATTTTAGAGTATTCCTGTGTATGATTACTACAAGTCAGATACATACAAAATGCCAAATTAGTTCAGGCTATATTGCTTTCATACCTTTTTTCGTGTATTCTTCTGAACCTTTATACTTTTCCAATTTCTTTTCTGCCTATTGGCGGTAGTACCCAAAAGCATAATTTTTTATTTTATTT